GCCCTCCCTGCAGGGCCCCAGCTCTTACCCTGTGTGCCTTCAGAAGGGAGCCAGCACCATGTGTCTTCCTTTCTCTGCTTCCGTTTTATATAAACCACTCTCCCCACGGTGCCCCCTTTTTCAGCAGGGAGGGAAATGAAACTGAAAGGGAGTAGGACTCTGTGGCTAACCCCAGCCACCAGTCCCACCCCGACCACCCAGCCTCTTGTTTACAGAGAAGCTGGCCTCCCAGGCTCCCAGTCACAGAAGAGCAGCTCCTGCAGTGGATGAGGACAAGCACCAGGTATGGCAACCACTTTGACCATCTATCTCAAGGATTAACTGGTATCACTGCCCCATTTCCCTTTAAAACTTCCATGGCTGAACAGAATCTCTGAAGATGGTTTTGTGGGGGAGGGGGGATTATGGGTCCTCCAGATTGTAGGCATTCTGGTTAAAAACAACTTTCTTTTTGTTACCAATGCTGTTGTCCCAGGATCATACCCCTGCCCCTCCCTCGACTAGAAACCAACTCCTCTTATCTAAGTCTCCAGAGGCAGCTGCAGAGAAGAAGCAAGCGCTGGTGAGGACGAACATAGTCCAAGATGGGGGCGGATGTGCCTTCCAGGGGAACTTGAGCCTAGTCATGTGCTCATTATAAAGTTATCAGGTGCTGAGTTGCTGCGGAAAAATGTGTTATAGCTCAGTTGTGACAGCAACCTGGATCCGGGCGAGAGACCAAGCAGCACTCGGAGAGTCGGAGAACTCAGGTTTATTACGCCAGCAGGCCCAGAGAAGTTAACCCTCCAAGCTCTGGACCCCATCTGTAGGTCTACACAGGCCTTTAAAGGCTGCCAGTTTTACACTTTGCAGCATCATATGCAAATAAAGTATAACAGAAGTTGACCACCCAGGAACAAGCTTTGTAGTTATAGAGCAATCAGGAGAGAAATAACCAATCAGGAGTGAGCTCCATGCAATGAAGTACTACAAAGGGACCAATCAGAAGTTAAGGAAGTGGACCAATCAGAAGTGAGAGTAATAACCAAACAGGAGTGAAGGAAATAACCAATCAGAAGGGAGTTCAGGAAACCAATAGAATTTTAGGGGTAAGTAAGCCGGTTCAGAGGCAAAAAGTGAGACAGAGCCTCTGCGCCAGGGAACTGGATGGTGCCGGCACAAGAGTAGTGGCCCTGCTTGGGGGCCTTGCCGGTTTTTTTATGGGGCTTCCCGCCTCAGAGTGACACACCCACCAGCGCCATGATAGTTGAGAACTGCCATGGCAACAACTGGAAAAACCCAAAGACTGAAAAGCCATCCAAGGACTGACTGGCTCATCACACCTGGAAGGAGGACATGGTGGTGGAAGCCTCTCACAGAAGTCCACGTGGCCCGAGCCGGGCTGGGGCTGCCCCTGCCGCCCGTCTGGGCTGACAGCTCCCGCCTGAGCGCCTTTTCCTCGCAGGAGCACTTTTCTTTTCTTCTCCCTGCTTGAGCACTTTTCTTCTTTTTCCTCTTTTGAGAAGTAAAAGCAGTTTTGCTCTGTCGCTCTGCCTTAGCTGTGAATTCTTCCCAGCTGGCAGGCAGGGACCCACACTGTGGTGGGCCTCTTAACTTGGGTAACAAAGCTGACAGCCTGCCCCAGAAACGCAGCTGAAGGATCAACATGCTTCCTGGGAACTCACAGTTGTCCTCAGACTCCAGCTGCATCCAGGTCTTCTGATGGGCTTGTGAACACACGGAGGGCTAGGCCCGAGACTCTGCATTGCTAACACCTTCTCAGGGGAGGCTGGGGTGGGTCCACACGTGGAGATCCGGTCACTTAGGGCAGCGCTGTGCAGCGGGACTTTCTGAGATGATAGAGGTGTTCTGTGCTGCTCTGTTGTCACCCTCTCCCCATATTCAGGCCTGAGCACCCTAAGAAGGGAAGTCGAGAGCATCCTGCAGGAACCAACTCAGGCAGTGCACACCCTCAGGCTCAGGATAGTCCTGTGTTCTCGGAGAGCTCTTGCTGGGAACTCAGCCCTGAGCCTGCAGGACATTCAGGTCCTTAGTAACCTGATCTGCAAAGCCACAGGTGTGCTCCCTGGGGGTCCCCCTGCACTGTGACTGAGGTGCGCTCCCCGGGGGGTCCCGGGTCCCCCTGCACTGTGAGGCAGGGGTGCACTGGGCATTCCCATCACCAGAGCACAGCTGTGGGGCATCCCAAAGAGCCCTCAGGGTGGCGGGGAGAGTACAGGAGGGAGGAAGCCGGCATCCATCTCGGGTTCACTCCCACCATCCTCTCCAAAACAGAAATTAATATTATAATTAAGAAAATAACATCCTGAGCACATCTTTGCTCATTCATTTCACTTGTGGGCAAGTTTTCTTTCTAAGAACGACCTTAGATGCTTAAAAAATGTTTTTCAACCCCCAGGTTCAGGGTCTGTCCTGTAGGATCTCATGCCCGCATCAGCCAGGGCCCCCGAGCAGAGAACGGAGGGAGGAACTGGGCACCCAGCTTCCCAGTGTGACAGTTTTCTGTCTGACCACTGGTGGCTTGGAGACAGGAGGGAAGGAGACAGGACACATCCATTGAAAGAATGACACATTGATTAGCACCGGGATGGCGGGAGATGTGCCTGCAGTGATGGTGAGCTTCACTGTACGCGCGTTGTTATACACCAGCAGCTCAATGGCTCGCCCACAGGCACCACGACAGGTCCCAGGCTGCCATAAAAGGTCAAAAAATGGGTGGTGGCCCAGTTCCTGGGACTCCACACCCCGTCCCCAAAGCCGTTGGAATAACCCTCCCACTTGTTAGCATGTGAAGTTACCAAGCCCATGAAAACTGACAGCCCCGCACCTCATGGCCGCTCTCACTTTTCTAGATGACCCCGTGCTCTGGGGCCTCCACCCCTTGTCCTTACCTGCAGAGATGGCTCACTCTGTCCATGGAGTGTGCCTCTCTCTGAATAAACCTGTGGCTCACTCTTGAGTTCTTTCCTGTGCGAAGCCAAGGACCCTCACTTGTTGGGGTCCATCCCGGGGACTCGACTGAGACCTGGGGACATGACTGTCCTCTCGTGGCCCATTTTTCCTGTATCAGCGTCTGCATCAGGACAGGTGTGTCTACTGCTCCAGGAAAGAGACAAATGAAGGCCCCGGAGAAGCCTCGCAGAGTGACGCTTGCTTCCCTGGAGGCAGCAAAGGCCACTGGAGGACCCTCCGTTCCCTGTGAGAATGGCATCCGTTCCGGCTCGCGCCGCAGGAGGGGTGGGTCCTCGCGCTGCCGGTGCTGACGGCCCGGAGGGAACACCCTGCCCGGGCAGCGTCACAGTGCTGGGCCGGATCTCAAGCTGCTGTTTGCTCAGCTCCACGGGGAGCCTGGCAGGGGGCTGATGAAGACCGCCAGCCGCAGTCGCCCGTCCCGCTGGCCTGAGGACACTCTGCAGAAGGGCTGGCCTGGTGTTTGTGCAGCGCCCGGCCGTCCGGACCCTAAAGGCACCCACCCTCGGACCTCTCGTCCGGCGCCTGCTCCCAGTCCTCTAGAGGAGACTGTGTGAGCGCCTCCCCGGCTGTTGGATTCACGAGTTGGAGGGACCATGGAGTCTGTGGACAAGAGCTCTAAGTGGGTGTGTCGCCGCAGAGGCCGCTTCGGGGTGGAAACCCCTGACCCTTCACTCTCTGGGCCCCACGTGCTCCAGCAAGGGTGACAAGGGGACCCATCCCAGGGAAGGTGCACAGAGGACATCAACCCATGTGCCTAGTACCTGTGGACGGGGGACAGGCCTGGGGTGGGCAATGCCATTGTCTGGGCTGGAGGGAGACAAAGGGCCACTGAGTGGTGCAGGGTCTCAGCAGGTGACACCCTTTCCTCAGGCAGGAGTAAGCTCTGTTCCCGGTTTTGTGGTGTCGGCAGTCCAGGCGTCTGGGTGACAGGATTGCTGAGAGAGGCCGGGAAGTGCCCGCTTCCCCAGGGCAGAGGCTCCGGGGGCAGCCCTCTCTGTGGGAGGGCAGCCCCTTCCAGGCCCCCTGCTGCAGGGTGGGGGTGGGGGGCTGGCGCCCACTTCCAGGCCCCACCCTAGGGGGCAGGCGCAGGCTCACGTCCACTCAGCGTGTGGGCAATTAGGACAGATGTTCAGGGCTGGCTACCTACCCAAGGCTCAGTCTCGTTGGCAGCTCTTTCTCTTTTTGTAATAGACTATTGTTGAGGGCAGTTTAAGGTTGACAGCAAAAGTGAGAGGAAGGTACAGAGATTGCCCCAGCCCCTCTCCCCCAATGCATGCACAGCCTTCCTTGCTGTTGACAACCAGAGGGTACATTTGTCCTAATCTGTGAACCTGCATGGACATGTCATCATCACCTGGAGTCCACAGTGCACATCAGGGTCACTCTCGGTGCTGCACTAACGTGTAATGACCTGCGTCCTCCATTGCAGTCCCGTACAGAGCAGTCCACCGCCCTGAGAATCCTGTACCTGCCTGCTCACCCACCTCCTCAGCCCCCAGCACCCCTGATGTCCTGTCTCCATCCTGCCTCCTTCTCTGTGACGTCACCGAAACTCTCCGGCCACCTCTGCCAGGTGGTCCAAAACCCAGAAAGGGGATGGGGTAACACCCCGACTCCTGCTCCTGCAGACAAGGCCAAAGGGGCTGATCAGTCAGGAGAGGACCCGGTGAGCGAAGCTGGTGGGACACCCCCACCTCCAGGAGCAGTCGACTGGCTTCAGGGGCCGAGCCCTGAGTTCTAGGTGGGGCCAGGCGTCCCTACTGCAGGGCTGAGGGCAGGGAGTGGGGCAGAGGGAACCCCGCCTGGTGATGACAAGTCAGGATGCCGTCCCACTGCTGGGGTTGTTCTTTGCCTGCAATCTGTAGAATGGGCGGATGGAGACTGACTCCATGGCTGGACTCAAGAACGCTAGACACACCTGTTAAAATAACACACGGCGAACCTAAACCCCACCCCATAACCCGGCCCTGCCCTCTCTGAAACGGGGGTGCTGCGGAGGCCGCCACTTGGTTTGCTGAACAAAATGAAAATTTAGGTGGAAAACATAAACCTCGGGAAAGAAACAAAACATAGCCAAGGCCACAACAGAGGAAGAGGTTTTCAGTAAGTTCTTAGCTTTATGATCGGTGGCTGAGGCTTCCCAGGCCGGCAGCAGCAGGCGGCCATGGGAGAACAGAGGATCCAGGGCTCTCGGTGGCGCTGGAGCCCGGGAGGACAGCAGTCTCCACTCTCAGCGCCCTTGCAGGGATGTGGACAGGACATGGACAAGTCAGGGGGACAAACACACTGAGAGCTGCAGGGGACTCAGGGCTGTCACAGGAGGGAGGTTGTCATGGGGGGCTGTCACAGGGTCGGGGGGCTATCACAGGATGGGGGCTGTTGCAGGATGGGGGTTTGTGACAGGATGGGAGTTGTCACGGGGTAGAAGCTGCCACAGGATGGGGGGACTGTCACAGGATATAGGCCATCACAGAATGGAAGCTGTCACAGGGTGAGGGCTGTCACAGGGTGGAGGGGCTGTCACAGGATATGGGGCTGTCTCAGAATAACAGGTGTCACAGGATGCGGGGCTGTCACAGGATAGGGGCTGTCACAGGATGCGGGGCTGTCACAGGATGAGGGCTGTCATAGGATGGGGGCTGTCACAGGTGGGGGCTGTCACAGGGTGGGGGCTGTCACAGGATGAGGGCTGTCACAGGATGCGGGGCTGTCACAGGGTGGGGGCTGTCACAGGGTGGGGCTCTTGCAGGAGTTCACATCCCAAGGCAGGATCCTGGACACACCTGGCCAGGAGTGCCTGAGGCCTCACCTGCTACCGTGGGTAAAGATGCTCTGAAAATGTAATAGTTTCAGCCAGAGTGCAAATATGCCTCCCCCTTACGGAAATGTCTGCGGACACCAAAGAATTTAGCACCTAAACAGATGTGTATTCGTTGGCCAGGGCTGCCATGACGAAGAGCCACCAGCCCAGCGGCTTAAACAGCAGACGCTGACTCTCACGGTTCTGCAGGCCGCACGTCCAAGCCCGGGAGCAGGCAGGCACGGCCCCCTCTGAAGCCCCCAGGGGAGGACCTGTTCCAGGCCCCCCTCGCTCCCCGTGGGTTTTGGTGACCTTGGGGGCTCCCTGGCTTGTAGAAGCGTCACCTGGATCTCTGCCTCCATCGCCACGTGGCCTTCTCCCCAAGGGCTTGTGTGTGTCTACACGTCCCTTTTCTGTAAGACCAGCAGTCGTACTGGATGGGGGCCACTTCCCTCTAGCGTATTACATGACCCTACTGACACACGGCGTCACGTTTAGAGGAAATGCTGATTAGGGGTCAATTCACGGATCTGAGGGAACAGAGTTTAGTTCGTAATAGGGCCTGAGCCAAGATCCCATCCAGTGGTTTGCAGACGCCTTTGCAGAGAGAGGTCCAGGCTCCCTGAAGGGCCACTGCCCAGAGGCCGAGGTCCTCTCTGGGCTGGAGCTCTGCTTGGCTTTCGGTGGCCACTCCCCTCCTGCTCACACATAGTCATCCCCCCCTGTGGGAGGGCAGTCACCCCACCTCCCGCCCCGCTGCCAGGAGGGTGACGTCCCCCTGCTGCGGGGGGACGAGGGAGGGCTCGTATGTGTCCTGGCAGGAGCTCTGGGGGGCACCTGGACTCCTGCTCTCTCTGGCTTCCATGATGGTCAGGACCCATCTTCAGGAGGAGGGCCAAGCCTCTGCTGACCTGCAGCCGGCAGGGAGCACGAAGGGGAAGCCAGCGCTGATGAGCTCCGCTGCTTTGACACTGCGAGGGCGCCACGTGCTACCATGTGTTCATTTTATTCATTCATTTTTATCAGAAGCTCTTTTTTGGGGGGAGGGGGATTAGGTTTATTTTTCTTTCGTTCTTTATTTTAACGGAGGCGCTGGGGACTGAACCTCATGCAGGCTAAGCATGTGCTCCACAACTGAGCTCTACCTATCCCCTGCTACCATGTTCTTAAAAGGAGTCCTGCTGATAAAAGTGCTTGAAAATCACTCTCGGTCCCAATCCCTCTATTTTATTGATGAGAAACTAGAGGCTCCGAGAAGCACTATTAACTGGGCATCGAAGTCTCCTAGCCTTTGCGGCAGCCAGCCCCGGGAGGGACGTTAGAATGGGTGTTTGGCAGTGACTGGATTTTCTTAACCCCAAGTCACCAGACGTGCTTCTCTGGATATGCTGCTACATGGATCTTACGAGGTGTCTCCCGGTAAGCGTGGGGTAGACTGTGAGCCTCCCAGCAGCAGACCCTGCCCGCCCACTCTGTCAGAGCTCCTCCCTCCCCACCCCCAGCCCCTGGAGGGACGCTCCCACATGGAGGCAGAGCCTGGAGCTCTTCACTGCGGCACTGCTGGTGCCCGAGGTAGGGGCACCTAGGTTTGTGGAGTGAATAAGTTCAGTGACCCACAGGGAGACTTTAACAGCTCAACTAGGGTGGACCCCGGATGTTAGCTACGCCCTCTGACCGCTGCTCGTCCTCGAAGGAGATGACCATCCAAAAGGAGGGTGTGCCTGGTGATCAGGGATAAAGGTTTTCTCTCTGCAGAGCTGTCTGGACCACAGGGGTCAAACTTAGATCTGATCATAAAATAGCCCTCCACCCCAACAAGCAGTGGTTGCTCCCCCAACCCTCTCCTCTCAAAGTTCAATCACGGCACTTCCTTGAACAGTTACTCATTTCAGTTGTCCTGCGATCTTCACTCTATAAATAAAACGTCTATACAGCAAAATTTTATACAACCAGCAAATATTCTGGTTGGCTGATGGCAAGCCCCAAATACTCATCAAACAGTGACCGCTGGGTCAGATGCTTGGTCCATTCCATGCTGCGTTTGTCTATAAAAACACGTTTATTAAGGCCGGGCAACGTTAGCTTGGTCCTTTCGGTATACAGCCTTCTATCTGTATCTCTGCAGGCCAGCCCGAGTACCTGTTCCTTGAGCTATCTGAGTGGTTGATCTGTGTAAAGGAAAGAAAAGGATTTAATTTACTCACTAATCTAATCCACAAATTAACATGCCAGCTGTGAGCAAATTCATAAAAAGAGAATGGCTTCCTAGAATGGGATTTTCTCCAACCTCCTCTGGGTCTTCATCTCCTCTCAGTGTGTCTCTTACTTCAACCAACTTGATTCAACACACGGAAAACTTTCTCTAATGAATGATGTAAATGTCCTTTAATCTATGCTCCCAGTAGAGGAGCCAGGAGCCACATTTGGCTACTGAATACCTGAAATGTGGCTCGTGGGACTGATGAACTGAATTTTAAATTCTATTTAATTGGAATAAATTCAAATGTAAATGACAATCTGGCTAGTATCTGCCTGTTCTAAAGTTTAGTTTTCAATTCTCTGGGAGAAGGATTACAGTTTTTTTTCAGGGTAATTGTAGCGCTCCTTGCTCAGAAGATGTGCCTTCATGTTGATTTCGACTTCAGCTCTGTCCAGCGTCAATTCTTTCATAGATAATGGAGCACCTTCACCTAATGCTTAAAAAGAATAATATGCATTCTAAACTTGGGAATTCTAGTTTTATCTCTTTTTTTCCCCTAGAACAGCTTTGCTGAGCTCTAATTTACATACTATAAAATTCACCCATTTAAAGTGTACAGTTCAGCCATTTTCCATCTATTTGCAGAGATATGCAACTATCACCACAATCAGTTTTATGTCATTCTCATCCCCCGAACAACAAAACATGTACCCATTCGAAGGCACTCATCAGCCCCCTCAGCCCTAGAAGCCACTGATCTACTTTCTGTCTCTGGTTTTGACTCTTCAAGAAATTCCCTGTAAAAGGAATCGCAATGCATGGCCTTTGCGTTTGGTGCCCTTCACTCAGCGTGTTTTCAAGGGTCATCCGTGTCATATACCAGGGCTTCATCTCTTTATGTGCCTGAATAATATTCCAGTGTATGGCTATACCATATTTGATTTATGCATTTTTAATCCATTAATCAGACATTTGGGTTGTTTCCACTTTTTGCTATTATGAATGATGCTACTGTACATATTTATGTACAAGTTTTTGTGTGAACATAAGTTTTCATTCTCTTGGCTCTGTAGCTGGGAGTGGCATTGCTAGAACATATGGTAACTACATGCCTAACTTTTTGAGGAACTGCCAGAATATTTCTCAGACCAGCAGGATTGTAATTTTTCCACATCCTCATCAATACTTCTTATTTTGTCTTTTTTATTATAACGCTCCTAGTGGGTGTGAGGTGGTATCTCACAGTGGTTTTTATTTGCATTTTCCTGATGGCTACTCATGAGTATATTTTTACGTGCTTATTAGTCATCTGTATATTTTCTTTGAAGAAACGTCTATTCAGATCCTTTGCCCATTTAAAAACTGGGTTATTTGTCTTTTTTATTATTGAGTTGCAAGAGTTCTTTATATATTCTGGATACAAGTCTTTTTTTTTTCTTTGCAAATATTCTCTCCTATATTGTGGGTTATCGTTTTTCTTTCCTGATGGTGTCCTTTGAAGCACAAATGTTTTAAATTTTGAGGAAGTGAAATTTATGTATTTTTTCTTTTGTTTGTGCTTTTGGTATCATAGCTAAGAAATCACTGCCTAATCCAAGGTCACAAAGATTTATGCCTGTGTTTTCTTCTAAGAGTTTAATAGTTCTAGCTCTTACATTTAGTTATTTGACCCATTTTGAGTTAATTTTTGTATATGGTGTGAGGTAGGGATCCAAATTCATTCTTTTGCATGTGGATGTCTAGTTGTCCCAGGACCATTTGTTGAAAAGACCATTTATTCCCTGTTAATAGGTCTTGGCACTCTTGTTGAAAATTGTTTGATCAAAACTATGAGGTTTTATTTCTCAGTTCTGTTCCTTTGGTCTATATGCCTGTCTATGCTGTCTTGATTACTACAGCTCTGTAGTAAGTTTTGAAACTGGAAAGTAAACAGTCCTCCAATTTTATTCTTCTGTTTCAAGATTGTTTTGACTATCTGGGTCCTCTGAGTTTCCATGTGAATTTTAGGATCATCTTCTCAAATTCCGTGAAAAGCCCTCTGGGGTTTTGATAAAGATGGCATTAAATCTGTATATCAATCTGGAGAGTATTCATGCCTTAACAATATTAAATCGTCTGATTCATTAATGTAAAATATCCTTCCCTTTTTTAAGGTCTCCTTAATTTCTTTCAGCAATGTTCTATAGTTTTTAGTGTATAAGTCTTACTTCTACATTAAGTTAATTCCTAAGTATTTTATTCTTTTTGATGTTATTGCAAATGGAATTGTTTTCTGAATTCTGTTTTCAGTTTGTTCACTGCAAGTAGATAGATTTTGTACCTAGATCTTGCATCCTGCAAACTTACTGAACTTGTTTACTAGTTCAAACAGGTTTTTTAGTGGATTCCTTATGATTTTCTGGAACACAGAATCATACCATTTCCAATGTGGATGGCTTTCATTTATTGCCCTTTTTTCCCCATCTCTTTCTTTCTTTTCTTTTTTTCCCTAATTGCCTTGGTCAGAACAATGTTGAAGAAAGTTGCAAAGATGGATATCCTTGTCTTGTTCCTGATCTCAGAGGGCAGCCATTTGGTTTTCACATTAAATATGATGTTAAATATGGGGATTTTGTAAATATCCTTTATTTTGATTTATTTATTTTTAAATGGAGGTACTTGGGATTGAACCCAGAACCTTGGACCTTGTGCATGCTAAGCATGAGCTCTACCACTGAGTTATATCCACCCTTCTGTAGATACCTTTTAAAAGGTTAAGGAAGTTCCCTTCTGTTCTTAGTTAAGTGTATTATCCTGAAAGAGTGCTGAATTTTGTTAAATGTTTTCTCTGTGTCTATTGAAATAGCCATGTCCTTTATGCTAGTAACGTGATGATTACATGAATTGATTTTTGGCTGTTAAGCCAACTTTGTATTTCTGGAACAAATCTCACTTGGTTATACATCTCTTCTGAAAACTACTCTTCTGATAATTCACTCATTGTTGAGACTTCGGGGATCACACAGTAGAAGAAAATGTGCTCTATGCCTTCAGGAGGTTACCATCCAAGCAAGGACAGACAGACAACACTAATGCACAGCACCACATGCCCATCAAGGAAGGCACAGAGTGCTGTGGGCACACAAGGGCAGAGTAGGACGGCCAGAAAGTCTCCACAAAAAAAACAGCTGTGAGCTGGATCGTGAAGGAGCTTCCAGGAAAGCACACTCAGGATGGAAGGAGTCACAGCAGAGGTCCAAGCAAGGGGAGGCTCTGTGATGTGCGTGTGAGAGCAAAAACCACAGTAAGCGTGCTGAGCATGCATAGGCTGGAGATAAGCGTGGAAAGGGGCTGGCTGGGCTGCAGCCCTGGTCTGAGCTCTAGTTCTGCATCACGGGGGGAGCAGGTTGTGCCCCACCCTTGGGGAAATCTACGGTGTACAAACTTGAAATCTAAAATAATGAAGACGCCAACGATTCCTCCAGTAGTACTTGACTCAGATCCGCAGTCAGGCCCATACTGAGGTCCTGGCGTCAGCTCAGGTTTCATCAACATCCAAGCAAACATCCTTTTGGGCCCCAAACCACAGTAGCTCTAATAACTTACAAAAACTGCTTACCACGCTCAGGTCTGGTCTTTGCACTCTTGTAGTAAGCAGGACAATGACTTTCAACCAACACACGTGGGCAAGACAAGCATTCTCCTGCAATTCACTTAGAGCCACGGTTTCAAAACACGCTGTCTCTAAATGCAGTGCAGTACTGGGACACCTGCCTTTTCCTTGATTCCTCCCACTCCAGAAACTCCTTTTCCCATAAAGAAAACAAAAAATCAATTCAGACGAGGCTTTGGCTTCTGTCTGAGCTAAACATGGATACGGAACCTGTTTGTGGAGATGTTAACATTTTTGAGTTAAGAAAGATTCAAGCTCTCACATTTGAGTTGGAACAATTCCTGTCATAACAGTAATGACAGGAGAGGACACACAGCACTTCCCACTGGCCTGACACCCCTGGCTGCCAGCAGTCCCTGCTCACCACCACTACTGATGAGTTATGTGACCGGGACAGCTGGGGTGGGGGCAGGGCCGGGCACCTGGAGAGGATGAGGGGAAACAGAGGAGGAGGCATGGAAGAGGGTGAGGGGTAAGATAAATGGGGAAAGTGCAGTGATGCTGGAATATAATATTAAGGGAGAGTGTGGATGTGCACATAGAACCAGGGCCTCTATTTTCTCGTGAAAATCAGTGCAATGGGTCCAACTCCCCCTGCACGTCAGAATCACCGGGACAGGCCCTGGCCTCTGCGATTCTAGTGCAGTGGGTCTGGGCATCCGCGCTTTTTGAGGTGACTCAGGTTGGGAATGACAGGTAGGGGATGGAAAGGTGGGGGGAAGTAGGGAAGCTCGACTCTCTTTGACCTTCTAGCTGGAAGAGAGGAGGCCCTTCTCCTCAGGAGCAGCTGAGGGCGGGACTCGTTCCTTGGCAGCCAGCTAACTCCTTCCGCTTCTGGAGCTATTTCAGCGCCGGTTCCTGGAGAGCAGCGCCCTCCAGAGGAGCTGGTGATGCCTGCAGAGGCGACAGCCTGTAACTCCTAGGACACTTTGGCCACCCCTCACTTGGAAGTTTCATGGTGACTTAGTATTAATGCGCCAGAACTTCATTCTTTTGCTCTTTACCTTTCTTCCATAAATAAAGGCCATAGTGGGAGGGACGTATAATCAGTCCTGTCCCAATTTACTCAAGGCAGCGACGAGGCAAGCGGCATTTACCCAGTGCTCGTGTGCAGCCCGCCCCGTCTCAAGTGCTTCACGCACACAGGCTTAGTGACTTGGGGACCAACTTGAGAATTAAGCACTGTGACCAGCCCCGGAACAGAGGCAAAGGGAAGAGGCGTGGGACGTACTGTCGGCTGCAGCAGGATAGAAAATCAACACCGATAGCGCATTCAGAATTCTCTGCTTTTGAAGAGACTGGAAAGTCCAAACTTGCCAAGTGTCTTTTGAATGCTGACACAATGAGGAAGGTTGCAAACATCTTAGGATGGACTGTTTCGCCTGTAACAGCTCATCAAGCACCACTGGGTGGAAGGCGAGCTTCCCCCAGGATTTCAGGATGCGGAACCACGCGGGAAGCGCGCGCCCAGAACCAGGGGCCTCGGGCACAGCCCTGCGCGCATGCGCTTTACGCAGGAAGCTGTTCGGAGACGAATCACAGCATGTACTGTACTGTTCGGGGGAAGGGGCGTTTAACAGCCACTCACCTTTTCTCTCTGAATTTCTGAAGGGAGTTCAAAGCCTTTTGCTGCAAGGAACACCCAGCTTGACCTGAATCTCATGTTTCTGATCTCTTTACTTCCCAGGGCTTCGATGGTCTTCTTGGCATCCTCCTTCAGTCTGGGGGCGGGGGGGTGGGGGAGGACAGAGGGGAAAGCGTGTGAACGTCTCCCTGAAGACTCGGTGTGTCGTGCTAGGACAGAGTCTGCCCTCCTGGGGCCCATGACAGGAGGGGACAGGCTAGCCCAGTGTGTCACATTTCTCCTTCAACATAAAGCCACACCTAGGACTCTTTCGGACTCAGTGTGGGCACAGAGTTTTAATTCTCAATTCTGAAAAGCCCTGTGTCTGGGGTTCAGTCACATCCTCACCCTCAGCCAACATAATTTTCGGTCCTTGCTGCCCTCCTGGTTACCAACCACACAATAAGATAGACAGAAGTTTCTGAAAGATGAAAACAAATGCCAAAAACTGCCCCTTTTGTGTTCAGAAAAGTCAGTATCAAAAAAGAAAAAAAAAACCTAAATAATCCTACCACTGTAAAAAAAATGCAATTTAGAGCAGGCAAAGGAAGGAGGGCAGAAAGGAAAAGAAAAAAATAAGTTCAGATTTTCCTAAATGCGTTAAATCTCAGTTTTTTAAAGCATACTCTAGTATGCTCTAGTGAAAATAGGATATGAGGTCAGACAAATCTGGGAAATGCTGCATTCGGTGGCCCCATCTCAGAAATTCACAATGCGAATGAGCCCCACAAGGTTCCTGGAAGTTCAGCAGTGAAGATGCGCACGTCTGTTTAGAAGCGCACACCTGGAGGACACTGAGCCGGGTCAGTTTTTCCCAAGTGTGTGTGTGTGAGTGTAAGTCCCACCCTGGGTTCAGCTCTTTGGTATTCTCTTTATGGTCAGTGGTGGCTCTGTCTTGCTCCTGGAAATATTTCTGAGCGTCTAGGATTTATGCGCTCCACTGGCCAATCATTTTTCTAGAAAGGCAATCTGTTAGTCGTCGTCTCCCATTCCATTTCCTTCAGGAAGCATCCTGCTCCTCGGAGCTTTGTTCCTTCTTAAAGGATGCCCTGAGGGACCCTGAGGGGCCGGGCACCCTGCACCCCGCTGGCTTCCCTTCCTGGCGCCCCTCCTGTGACAAACCTGCATGCTCACCTGCTGCTGCCTTCATCCTGGGTGACCATGAACAGCAGGGACTGCGAAGGGGCGCTCTGAATAAACCTCACCATCGGTCCAGAGTTATCTGCCAGGTCAATGTAAATCAGTTTTAGAATCTTCTCAGTCAGCTGAGACTCCGGCCCTAGATGCTGGGCTTCCTCTGCACTCAGCTCCTGTGCCCTGCCCTCTGACTCCTCTGATTCGAGAGCTGTCCCCTGATACGCAAATCGTGCTCCAGGGCTTTCGTAGTAAGTGGCCAGAGAGACCATGTCCCCCAGTGGGACCGTGTGAGGCGAGCAGCACAACCAGATCATAAAGATTCCAACGATCAACTTTAAAACTGGCCACAATCCAGCAGCACAGGTGGACTCTTCTCTGCAATCACTAAGAGGGCACCAGGCGTGACCAGAGCACTGGTCCCAGAGCAGCCCCGCGACACTGACATACAGAATGGAGGCGAGAAATACAAGACAGACAGACCAGACGGGGCTGGGCATGTCTTTGCTAAGAGACCTCTCTATTTCTTACAGGAAGGAAAGAAAGACGCAGCTCAAAGCCCATTATTCAGCACTGGGGCTTGCTACTTACAGCAACGGTTAAGTTAACTGCAGCGTGAAACTGCACTGCTCCTGTCCAGGGCATCCAGGCACTTTTTACTGCTCCTCTCCATTGTCTTTATAAAGACTTATCATTCTCAGCATTAAGTACAAATAAAATGGGCTGGTATATCCCTACGGACAACTAACTGCAGTCAAGGCCCAGAGCCCAGAAAGGAGGGACCCCTGGAGGAGCTGGGCTCCGTGGACTCCAGGGACGTGAGCACCGCAGAGCAGCGCCAGGAACACGACAGCAGCTACGATGCTATTCGGGGCTGGATGCTGATGGCGTTATTTCACATATGTTCGATTTACCAAAAAAAGAGAGATGTTTTCTCTTTTCCACTAGGTGATGAAGAAGCAGAAGGAAAAGCTCCAGGACGAGTCTGATCAGAGAAAAGACATTTTCTAGATAATGCCTTCAAAGTTTAATATACGAACTCACATAGAGACTAGGAGAATTTACGTAAGCCCATTCTAGCATACTCACGTGAGCTTCCGGCAATTTTTTGAGTAGACAAAATAAGATTGTTTGACATTTTTGTTTGTGTTTTTTTAGTCTTATGTTTGTAATTCATTTTTAATTTTAACAGGAAGAGATTCCTTACCGCCTTCGTACATATCAAAATGCTGTGTTGCTATCACTGCCCCAGTCATATCTGAAAATAGAAGAAACAGTTTTTAAAAGAAGGTTCGTGGGGGCTCAGGGCACATCTGTGGCACCACAGTTCTGAGAATAGCTTGTCCTTTCTGTTTCTTTCCGGGAAGCATGCCTGCCTTGGGGACCCGGCCTGAAGGAGGGGACTGCCTCCCCTGGAGAGGGGTCCCCGATGAGGTGGTGGTGCGGGTCAGGAAGGCAGCGCTCGCCAGCTGCACAGAGAATCCCTCCCATCTGCCTCCAGACACACTGGGTCTCATGATCCTTCCCGGTACAACTGCCTCTTCCCACAAACACCAGAGCCCCCGCTCAGTCCATTCCACCTTGCACTGTAGCTTTTCCTGCCGGATTATCGGATTGGGCACGTTTTTCCTGGGTTCCTGCAGCCCCACTGTCACTGGACTATGTGTCAGCTTGTTCACAGGGGCAGACACCATGGGAAGCCCTTTTCCCAAACCTGCTACCGTTCTTACTGTCGGGGCCCCAGTGGTGACAGGTGTTTTTTCCAGCAGAGGCCCTAGTTGTCACCTTTTATCGGACAAAGGTAGGAACTGGCTGGTGGTGTCACGCTCTGCTGGGCCATCAGGAGTCAGAGCAAACACGAGGCCCAAGGCCAGGGTGCCTGTGCTCCCAGGTCTGCTGGTCTGGCTCTAGCCCTGACTTCTGCAGGTCCTTCTTTGTTCTTTTAAAAATCAGTTTATATTGGATTTCAGGGTTTTTTTTTTTGTAGGAACCACAAGTAATCTGTAAAGTGAGGCATTATAAAAACAGTTAAATCTATACTTTTAAAATGCATTAAAATAGAAATCTAGACTAGGTTGTGTGCAAAAATCATTGAAAAAACCCCCACAAAACCCAAGGTACATTTGAATAGCCAATCCCAGAGCTTTAGAGAAGTTTTAAAGAAAACACTGAGTAACTTACAGTTGACAATGGCAATGTTTATTCCTCTTGCAACATTTGCAGTCTTTTCTCCTATGAGCCTGAAAGGTAAATAAGCGTTAGTCAAAGAGCTCCTTTCTTATCAAGCAGTGAGAGGCCCTCCCGGCTCCCGTTTCCTCGTAGATATAACATGGCCTTGCCCAGATCCCTTGACAGTCACCCTCACACTCGCTCCACACACATCCATCCCCAAGTCTCTACTGACCCAGTCGCTTCGGGAACCTGGGAACTGCATTTAGTCTTCTAAGGCATACAAATGGCCCAGGGGAGGAAACACCGATTGGTTTAGCACAGGCTCTTGGCAGACATTCTTTCACTGAATCCTCGGCAACCTCGTGGGTGGACCTTCATTTTCCCATCTTGTAAATATGGAGTAAACAAGAAGTAGCCTGGGTCAGGAGTGAGGAAGCCAGGAGGCGCGCGTGTGCACGCACCCACACACACACACACCCACCCACATGGTTGCTTTAACAGTCTGACAAAAGCTTACTAGACTGTGAACAAGAACATTAGGAGTGGGGAGAGAAAGAAGAGGGCAGAAGAAAGAGGTGTTGAAGATGTGCAATTGCTGGGCTTCGACCACGGATGGGATGGGAGAGACACAGGAGGTGGGGGTGACAAATATGACTGACACATTCAGCCTGGCCGACTGGGAAAAAACGAGTCACAAGAGGCGGGATGTGATCCAACTCCGGCGTCAGCTTCTATGTGTCCTCTCCCCACCGGGGCTCTGCACAAGGTTCTGCTGACTCGTGGAGATCCTTTCTCCAACCACGAAGTGGAACTGCATCCATCTCCTTCCATAAGTCCCCTGTACTGCTTCACTTCATGTTTACTTTTAAACTGGAGAAGATGAAACATCAGTTTCCAGGGGATCGTGCCCTAAAACCAGGAAAGAAAAGCCACCTTCCTGGAAACGCGAACTGTCACTGAGGATCTCGGGAACTTTGCGTACGTGCGCCTCGGTCTGTGTGCACGCATCCCCTGTCAAGTTTCAGAATCAGCGAAGCTGTTGTGCAGACATTTATAAACTGATTCTAAAATTCACATGCAAATAGAAATACTCTAGAATAGTAAAAATAATTTTGAAAAAAAGAACAAATTTGAAGAAATTGTGTTACCGAACTTCAAGATGTACTGTAAAGCTGGAGTTATCAGGAAATTAACTGCATGTAGCGACAAGACAGACAAACAGAAAGATGGGAGAGATGGAGAGACCAGAATTAGGTACACACACGTATGGTCACTTGATTTCACCAGTGGTACAAAGAGCATTCAGGAGAAAAAGACAGTATTATGACCAAATGTGCTGGAACAACTCTCTAGCCATGTTTTTTTAAATGACTACAAGCCATATTTTATACCATTTGCAAAAATCAGCTTAATTAAAATGGATATATTGTATTATATAAAATGAAAAACCTAAAACTAAAGTCTAGAAGTTTGGAAGAAACTTTGCAGAGTTTTGGAGAAATTTTTGTAATGGTGGGTTAGACAAAAAGCTCTTAGATATGACACAAAACATACGCTTCATAAAAGAAAAAAACTTGATAAATTGGACTTCATTAAAATTAAGAATTTCTGCTTTTTGAGAAACACTGTTAAGAGAAGGAGATGTGGGGTGGCGCTCTTTGAAGTCCATAAAACCCCAAACCCCAGCTCCCGGACCCTCCTCATGCCCACATTCTTGATAAAGAGCACTTTTCCCTGGCGTGTATTTGCCCTGGCAGAACTAACCTCCCTGGAAATGGCTAGTCTCACAACAACCAGGGCAGACAGGCCCCATCCTGTCCTTACCAGAGTCATAAATCCCATTACTGAGAATAGCCCCTGACAAGTCTTACCTACTCCAGCCAGTCAGGT